GACCAAGGAGCGAGGACATCAGTCTCCAATTTAATGCACCTTTCCATAGCCTACATAACAGATGCTTCATGAGCCTTTACGTCTTACCCGACGTAATGGTAAGATGCCTTTTCTAGACTGCTTGGTCACTCGCGACAACAACAAACTAAAAACGACTTCTTACAGAAAACCGACACATACCGACCGATTACTAGACCAGTCTTCGTACAACCCGACCTCTCACAAGGCTACTGTAGGATTAGGCTTGCATTGCATGCTGGTTTTGAGGTCGGCCATCTTGAATAAACCTCGTGCTAGCTTTTGTTTACTCGGAGTCTTCTCTCTTCTTCGCCTGATACTACATGGTGGCAGCGGCCTTGACCCATCCAACGCCATAAAACAGAATGGGAGACCAACCGGAAGATTCTCCTGCAGTTGAAAATCCGCCTCCACCCGTTAATCCACCTGTACAGCCTATTCAGCCTGTAAACTCTCTCCCGCTCCCGAGCAAGTTCGAAGGAGCGAACAACCCGAATCAAGCAGACATGTGGCCCAAATGGCTTCGACATTTTGAGCGCTATCGGATCGCTTCTGGTCTTCAAAACAAATCAAACCAGGAACAAGTGGGAACATTTCTCTATGCAATGGGGGATTGTGCGGATGACATCGTCAAAACGCTAAGCATAAACGAAGCAACCGCTTCCTTTGACGAAGTCAAAACAGCCCTCAATGGTTATTTTGCGGCCCGCCGCAATGTTATCGTTGAACGAGCACGGTTCAATCGACGAAGACAAAACCCCGGTGAATCCGTGGACACCTTTATTCAAGACTTATACCGCCTCGCCGAAAATTGTGAGTACGGAACTCTGAAGGATGAACTTATAAGAGACAGAATTATTGTTGGAGTCCTCGATGATACACTGTCCGACCGCCTACAAGCTAAATCTGACCTCACTCTCGCGGACGCTGCTCGCATGAGCAGACAAGCCGAAGCAAGAAAACAAAATCGCACCGTAGTCCGTGGGGTAGAGACTCAAAACGAAGTTGATTACGTTAGTCAGCCACGCTCTCACAACAAGCAACAAGCAACAAACAACCAACCTGTACGTCCAGAAAAAAAAGAGCTCTCCAAGAATGACCGTCCCTGTTTTTGGTGTGGACGCCAGAACCATGACAGGAAGTATTGCCCAGCTAGAGACACTATTTGTAGTAACTGCAACAAAAAGGGACATTTCCAGTCTGTCTGTCTCAGCAAGAAATCGTATCCGAGAAAGGTACATGCAGTAGAAGAAGAAGAGGAGGAAGACATACACTTCCTCGGTGAGATCGGCAGTGATAAGAACTATTGGTCTGCACAGATAGGAGTGAATGGTCGTACAACACGCTTCAAACTTGACACGGGGGCGGCAGTGACTGTTCTTAGCGATGATGTACCGTGGCTACAAGATGTTGAATTAATTAAGACATCCCAGGTTCTACGCGGTCCTGGAAACACTCAACTGCCTGTGAAAGGTCTGTTCTATGCGACACTTAAGTACAGACAATCAAAGTTAACTGAGCCTATATATGTGGTGCATAATCAGAAGTGTTCGTTACTCAGCAGGAGAGCCTGCGTTGAACTAGGGCTCATAAGACGTGCTGACAAAGATGTTGAAGAGGTGAACACGGGGCCAACAGATTTCAAAGCCGAATTTCCAGCGCTCTTCAGCGGACTGGGAAAGCTGAAGACTGAATGCCACATAACACTTCGCCCTGATGCTATTCCTTTCTGTCTCTACAATCCAAGAAAGATCCCCCATCCACTGCTTCCAAAGGTAAAAAGTCAGATAGAAACAATGCTTCAGCAAGGAGTGATCTCGCCTGTAACAGCGCCAACTGAATGGTGTGCCGGTATCGTCCCTGTCCTTAAACCAAATGGCAGTGTACGTATCTGTGTTGACCTGACTCACCTTAACAAAGCAGTCCAGCGTGAGATACACCCAATGCCTTCAGTGGATGAGAACCTCGCTAAACTGGGAGACAGTAAGATCTTCTCCAAACTCGACGCCAACAGTGGGTTTTGGCAGATTCCCTTGGATGACGAATCAAAACTGCTCACAACCTTTGTCACACCATTTGGACGTTTTTGTTTTAACAGACTACCATTTGGTATCAGCTCTGCGCCAGAGATCTTCCAACGCACTATGTCCAAGATACTTGAGGGCTCGGAAGGGACACTCTGTCAGATGGATGACGTCCTCATTCACGGGGTGGACCAGTCAGAACATGATGGACGCGTACGAGCTGTTCTTCACCGCCTGCAAGACGCTGGGTTGACCCTTAATGACAAATGTGAGTTTTCACGATCTTCAATTCGATTCCTCGCTCACATCATTGATAGCTCTGGACTCCATGCAGACCCACAGAAGACCACCGCTGTGACCCAATTCCCAGTCCCTTCAGATATCGCCGGGATACAGCGATTCATGGGGATGGTAAACCATCTTGGGAAATTTATTCCCCACCTGGCTGACCTCAGTGACCCCCTCCGTCAATTATTACGCAAAGACAGTGTTTGGGTTTGGGGTGAACCCCAGCAAAAAGCCTTTGAGCAGATCAAGCAAGCATTAGTGTCACCGACAGTCCTGGCGCATTACAATCCAAACCGCCCAACGATCATTTCAGCAGATGCTTCCAACACAGGACTTGGTGCGGTATTATTTCAGGTTCAGGACGATGGACAGCGCCGTCCAGTGTGTTACGCGTCAAGATCTCTCAGTGACACAGAGAAACGTTATGCCGTAATTGAGAAAGAAGCCCTTGCGACTACGTGGGCTAGTGAGAGGTTCTCTGATTACGTGCTCGGCATCCCTTTCACCCTAGAAACAGATCACAAACCACTTACTGTACTCCTGAATTCATCGGAGCTCTCAAAGATGCCCCCCCGTATCCTTCGTTTCCGCCTGAGACTTATGAGATACAACTATCAAGTTCAATATGTACCAGGAAAACATCAAGTCACTGCAGATACACTCTCACGTGCTCCTGTTGCCCTGCCAGGGCTAGAAGATAAGCTACTTGTTGAAGAAGTAGAGGCCTTCTCAACTCGGACAACTTCCTGTCTCCCTGCCACGCCAAACCGACTACAGCAGATAAGAGATGCACAGAAGACAGACGAAGAATGCTCCCTTTTAAGATCATATTGCCTTCAAGGATGGCCCCCCTACATGCCTCACCAGCCGGTACTGCGCCCATATTGGGAAAACAGAAGCCACCTCACGATTGTTGATGACCTACTCCTTTATGATGATCGTATACTAATTCCAAGGAGTATGCGACTGCAAATCCTCGACTGCATTCACACTGGTCACCTAGGTCTGACTAAGTGTAGATCCAGGGCACGCACTTCCGTATGGTGGCCAGGACTCTCCACTCAAATCGGTGAATTGATCTCCCGATGCCACACATGTGCCAAGGAACAACCAACGCCCAGAGAACCACTTATGCCTTCGTCCTTCCCAGCCCGCCCCTGGGAGAGGGTTGCAACAGACCTGTATGATTTTCAAGGAAGAAAATACATCATCGTGGTTGACTATTACTCAAGGTGGTTTGACATCAAGGAACTCCCTGATGAGACTTCACATTCAGTCATAAAAGCACTCAAGGAGGTTTTCGCCACACATGGCATTCCAGATGTCATAATGTCAGACAACGGGCCACAGTATAGTGCAGAGGCCTTTCGACAGTTTGCAGCAGCATACCATTTCACACATGTTACTAGTTCACCCAAATTCCCCCAGGCGAACGGCGAAGTCGAAAGAGCCATTCGCACAGCAAAGTCCATGCTGAGAAAAAACAAAGACATCTTCAGCGCCCTCTTGACTTACAGGTCAACTCCTCTACAGAATGGCTACTCACCCAGTGAACTACTGATGGGACGCCGTCTGCAAACGCAGCTACCAACTCATCCAGGCAACTTGTACCCTAATGTGCAGATAAAAGACCGCCAGTTGGTAGAAGAAAAGGAAAGCTCGTATCGGTTGAACCAACAGCGCAACTTTGACAAGCGTCATAAAGCAAAGGAACTGCCAACACTTGAACCAGGTGACCGAGTTTGGATAAGAGATCAAGTTCGGTATGGCCTGGTGACAGAGAAAACTGAGAAACCCCGATCTTACCTAGTCACTACAGAAAAGGGCACACTCCGACGAAACCGCTCTGCCTTAGTAGCTGCAGCAAAATCCGCTGAGACCGAACAACACTCAGCCATGCCAGCTGGTGATGTCAATCCTGCCTCGCCAGTACATGTCACCCCTGTATTGCCAGTGCCCAGCACTCCGCTAAGGCCTCAGACTCCGCAGGTGCTCCCATCACCACAGACAGCTGTGCCAGTAGCTACCCTCGGAACAACACTGGAAGAGTGCGTACCTCCACGAAGTCCAAACCCTGCAGTCCTGACAACTCGGTCAGGAAGAAGTGTGAGGCCTCCAGAACGCTTGAATCTTTAGTTGAACATTGAACTGTGTGTGCTTTAGAGCTTCACATGAACATTTTGATTTGTTGTTATTTTTCCTCTTCGTTCGTTTGTTGTATTTACATAGCTTTCCCTTTAGGGGGGGGATGTAGGATTAGGCTTGCATTGCATGCTGGTTTTGAGGTCGGCCATCTTGAATAAACCTCGTGCTAGCTTGTGTTTACTCGGAGTCTCCTCTCTTCTTCGCCTGATACTACAGCTACTACTATCCGGACTCTGACGAGCCGAGCGCAACTACTTTGCGACTCATCTGACAGCCTACAAGACGAGACTAATTATCTTGACAACGTTTTTAGTAAGAACAATTACAACACGGAATTTGTTAGACGGAACACTCACAGTAACACTGATTCCAACACTCAGACCAACTCTGGCCCTGTTACGACAGCGACCTATACCGTACATCAGAGACACCTCTGAAACTATTGCACATATATTACAATCTTACAATATACATGTTGCACACAAACCGATAACCACTTTACAGCGACTGCTTACTAATGTCAAGGACAAAGACAAACCGGAGGACAGACACGGAGCAGTATACAAGATCAAATGCTGCGACTGCCAGGCTTCTTACATTGGTGAAACCGGCAGAAACCTAAGCACGCGACTGACCGAACACAGACGAGCGACGAGGAATGGTGACGCCAACAATCACATTGCTGAGCACCATTTAAACACGAAACATCAAATTGACTGGGACTCTGCGACATCTATAACGTATTCTACAGACTACTATCAACGTCTTACTTTAGAAAGCTGGTTTACTAACTTAGAACAAACGCCACTGAATCGTAGCCAACAGTTACCAGCGCCGTACAAACGACTTATTGACGAGATCAAGCAAAACTAATTACGAGAGAAAGAATGGAGAACTGATAATTTGACTAACAATAGACGACTGTTTAACTGAGACAATAGATCGAAACGCACCAGTTACTGATTACAAGTCTTCATAGCCAATAACATCACGGCTTAACTGACAGACGATCAATAACATCGCGATGTAATTGACCAATCAGATCAATAACCAGAGTATAATCCAATCAACTGACGTGATACAACTCACTTAGACTCTGAAGATGACTACCGCACAGGTTGTCGAAACGTCAGTCGCTGTCAACAACAACAGTCCTATTAAGGACTACGTTCACCTAGACGATCAAACTCAACCTACTTTTGAAATAACCTGTATGTTCAAGACAATGTTAAGATGCAGTAAAAATAGACAGTTTTTGCAAAAAGAAAAGAAAAGTTTCCTGTACAAACGCTGCCTGGTCTGCTAAAATAGCAAGACTTCTAAACAAATTTCTTATTCTATACTACTTTTAAAAACCGAAAAATCAACAAATTATACAAGCCCCTTATTCTAGTTACATTATATTGCAGATAGAAACTGTGAGCAGGACTGGACATATTAGGATAGGAGCTGTTATTTCCGTGATGAGAACCGTAAAACATTTAGTGCAGCCCAAGCCAACTGTGAATTGAGACAAGCCAATCTTGTAACTGTCAAAGATATAAATGAGCAGAAGTTTCTTAGCACTTTCATGGGAGACCACGGGGGTTGGAATGTTCTCAACAGTCAAAACGACACAAACGTGTTTGAGTGGATCAGTGGAGAAAAGGTTAACTTTACTTACTGGAGAACAGGTCAACCGGACAGCAATTACCAGTGTGTTCATATGTATCACAATGAACAACACAAATGGCAAACAAAGAAATGTTCAATTGCACAACGGTCCATTTGCGAAAAAGGTTTGTTTCGCTTTTTTGTTGCTTTTATCTTGCTAGTAGAAAATAAAATCCAGTCGAATAACCTGCATCGTTGACGAAATGCGGAAAATTAGCTGTATAATAAAGAAGTTTGATTTTATTTTTTAAGCAAATCACACGAAGTTTTAGCAGATTTGCAAAGGGGATGAGGTTCAATGGACATAAAATACCGTGATACAAAGGAGGCCTGAACTGTTGACAAATGATTAAAAGGGCAAGAAAAGATAGCTCAAGATGATAAGGCACAAGGCTTCATTAGTTTCAGGCTAGACCTCGGTTAATTAGTAAGGGATCCACCTCTGCCACAAGAATACTAGACTGCGGGCAGACACTTATTCCTTCTTTTGAGTGACCTATTTGCATAATGTCTCTTTTAAGCTCGCCGCGCGTGGCAATGAGGAAAAAAGGACGACCGTTCTCATAATTACCTGCATAATTTAGCTAGTGCTAAAAGCAAAGCTCCTGTTTATGCATTTTAAATTTACTTCAGACGATGGACTACAGAAAGCAAAAACTTGAGCTTGCGATCATATAAAAGCTAACAACTTCATAAAACACGTGACCTTGATGAGCTTGTGAATGAATTGAATTGATACCTAGACGATCTGTAGGTCTTAGACGGATAATTTGTCTTTGACGGATAATCCACCTCCAGCCAATGCTAGATTGTTCTCACGGAATTTTTTCAAGTCTCATCTCGGTTTGGTGTCCATCAGGCTCATCGATTAGTGACAGTCAACTAACCAACCCTCTCGTATGCTTATTTAATTTTTAATTTTTTTAATGATACTAAAGATTGGACACCATGTGATACCAAACCTTGCCAAAATGGAGGGGTCTGCGTTCCAAACGGTGATGACTATAGTTGTCGGTGTAGGAATAGTTCTTCTGGTAAAAACTGTGAAATTCGTACTACAACAGGAATTTCAACTACAAGTATGTTCATCTTTCTTATGTGCCCATATAACTCCCATAAATACCTAGTAGTAGACATTCATCTTCCTCTGAATAGTAAAATGAGTCACCATGAACGGGCGGCATCGCGGCTTCTGCTGTATTCAAGACGTCGATGGTCAAAAAATGCCAAATAATGAGTACGTTTGATCTTTCTTATCTCTTTTTTGCAAAACCCTCGTATAGATTAGCTGGTGAGCCTATATTTCCGTCCCCTTCATGACGCCCGCCATAATAACGCCCATGTCCATCCTCGTGCAGAAGATAAAATGTTACTAGCTTACATCGCAACTTCAAGCCTTGTTTGAAATAAGTACTTACGAACGTGTTGGTCTATGAATCATGAGCGGGAAATAGGAGAGGGCATATGAATTCTTAAGGAATTCGTCATTTTTCCATCCTATCGATACTTCAACCCATCCACTGCAAAAATCGCGATGCGATAGCAAACGCTGTTTAAAAAGTATGCGCTTATTAAAAACCGGAATAGAAATCAGACATGGGAAAAAGATAATATAAGGATACAACAACGAGATATAAGTAAAGCAAATTTTCGTTAAACTGTCTCACTCCATACCCTTTTTTCAGGTATTTACGATATATGTAGAAAAGTCAGCAGTAGC